ATCGGAATGGTGGAGAAGTAAAGACTAGAAGGTTCATCAATGGCGGACTTGCTCATATATGACCTTGAATCAGAATTGTTATCAGATTGTGATTCCATCAGACTCAGAAAGAAATCACTGCAAGATGAATCGAAGAAGGAAGTGAGAGTTGGAAGGAATATGCTTTGGTACCATACTAGAACTGAATTGAAGTGAAAATCGGAATCTGTTATTGATCAAAAGTCACGAAAATGGATGTACAAGTAAAGTATAAATAGGCGCTAAATGAGAAAGAAAAATCCAGCTGTCATAACTAAAAATTCTGGCTGGTAAAACTAACTACCTAACTAGCTAACTAACTTCATAACGATATACAAAATACGTATTGGTTCTAATATCATGGAATTCAATCATCAAGAATTTGGTAAATTTTAGTTTCTCTATAACATAAATTTGTATTGGCCTTACTTGTGTTGGTTCAAACACACAAGATATGATCGGGACAATATAGTTTCTGTAAAATTGTTCTGCAGATTACATGTTAAAAAAAGTTTGGGCAAAATGACTGGAGGAAGCTTTAAATTTTTAGCGGATTTGAGCAATATAATTTAATGGCTAAATATCTTAAAGTTGCAAGTTTTAATTAAAATGCTATCAGTAACATTGAACAAACACACTAATGCATCCTCTAAGGTTCTTTAGAGTACTTAAAAATCAGGATGTCTAAGGTCATTAGCAGAGTTTTGGCTTGATGGAAGCAGATTTGTCTCACTGGAGGTCGTTAGTGCCCTATATTTATAGTAGTTGGTTTGGTCTGTGGCAGTCTTAGTTTGTCGGTTGATCTGATGAGCCTTTGAACCACTTGCCTTGGAGATAGGCTTTTAGTTCTTATTGGTTGGACAATTTCCAGGGTTTGGTGAATGGGCTGTGTATGCAAATATAGTTCTGACAGTAATATTACCTAGGATGAATGCCACTTTCCTATTCTGAAAGAGACTTCAGTTGACATCTTAAGTGGCAATTTCAATAGTTCTCTGGCCATTAGGCGGCTTAGGCAACTTTTGAGGGAGTGGTTTGCTACGTCCAAGAATAGGATTAAAATCCCTTTAGCCCCTTTAATGCTGAACTAGAAGTTTGTGAACCTTCTTCCAAGGTTAGATGGATGATGTTAGCTACAACAGAATTGAATTAGAACGTAAGGCTAAGTTGTTCCTCTAGATTCTTTGAATCTAGCACTTCTTGAGTTCCAGTCTCATTTAGTAAACCACTATCTGCTTGAAATCAAAGGTCCATGTCGTGCTGCCTCTGCAACTGGAGTTTACTAGTCCTCCCCAGCCCTAAGTCCCTCCAGATTACTTTTATGCTTTGCTTATCCCCAATAATTTTTCTTTTTCTTCTTGCAAACGAAGTAAACTTAGCTCTTGAGCCCTCCTAGAGCTACTGTATGATTTGCTAATCCCCAATAAATATTTTTCTTGCAAACCGAGCAAACTCGAATTCCTTTGGATTTCTCGTTTTTTTTTTTTCCTCTTTCAGTTTAAAGGCAAATATGTCCGACAGTCTTGATTGACAAGGGATCCATGACTTTCTAATGACAAATGCAAGTATGAAATGTGACTTGTGAGGTCTCAACTAAATGGGTAGAACATTCTAACTTTATGTCTTATGCTAGAAAGAAAGAAAGAAAATAATTCGACTTCGGCATCAAACCAATTTTATTTGACTGAAATATGAGTAAGAGAACATTAATTAATAAGTGAAACGGTCATCTTATAGAAGCTGTTTTATGTGGTGGGTAGGATCTCCTTTCTGATGTCCTTTACCTGTAAATTCTTGTCTCTAGCTGTATTATCATACTTCTGGTAAACAAATTTCATCTTTTACTGAACTTATTTGTCATCAGATCTCTAGCTAAAGATTCATTTTGGAGATTATTACGGGCAATAAAAATATGATGTTTGTTATGAATTGCTAGGAGCATGAAGGCAAAGATCTTAGCGACCTATCCAGATGCTTTTCCAGATGATTCTACTGTAGAAGCCCTCGATCGAAGACCGGACCTTGAACTGCCTCGGTGACTCTGGCATTGGACATTTCTCAGATATTTTTTATTTTTCTTTTCATTTTATTCTCATTGTCTATGAATGGCGAGGGAGCTTTATGAACTTTCACTCTCTGAAGTGTTTCCTTTTGCTGCAATAGTTTATAAGAGTGAGATCGTGTAGGCTGATATATTTTTCTAATCATTTTATAAATGTGCATTTATCATAAGAAGGTAGAACCTGAGAATAAAATAATAAATCACCATTCATGTGAAGAAGTAAAGCTGATTTTCTATAGCATATCTTGATCATCCTCTGAAACTGTGTCGTTTGCGTAACTGAAAGAGGTTTCATTTGTGGAACAAGAATCAAGCCAAGAAGTTGGTTTCCATGTTGAATTCTCGTTTAGCCTTCTAAAGCTGTCAAGAGAAGTTGGTTTCCATATTGAATCCTCGTTTATCCTTCCACGCACTGAATTTTAGACATTTTTTGCACAAGCTTAGCAACTGGAAGAATCTCTTCTTCGCGACCATGGCTTGCAATTTGCCTCTCTAAAACTTCGAATAAATAGTTCCTTTTCATTGTTGAATGAAAACAAAAGGGTTAATAGCATGAAACATCACTACGTTTGATGCTTATTACGAAAAAGTCTCTACGTGTTATTTTTTGGCATTTTCGTGATTATTTTAACGTTTCATTGCAGAAAATGTTTTTTTAACTATTTTTGAATGTAAAATGATCAAAATACTATCCTATTTAAATAAAATAAAATAAAATAAAGAATGAATTGCAATCTTATTCCTAAATATTTTAAAAAATGCAAGTGGGTTTAAATAATTATTAAAAGACCTAATAGCACAAAACATCCATACGTTTGGCATTTTGTGTGCAAAACGTCCCTACGTTTCAAATTGATGAAAATGATATTTTTTGCAATGAAACGAAAATAGGGATGAAAATGCAAAAAAAAAAATTGAAACGTATGAACGTTTTTCGCAAGAAATGTCAAAACGTATGGACGTTTTTCATAAGAAGTGTCAAACGTAGGGACATTTTGTGCTATTAGGCCTCATTAAAATTGAAACCATTGCCAAACCGTCAAACCTCCATACCATTTTCAAAATATCATCACTCAAACTCCGGCGGCACCACCTGTTTCGAAGAGATCCATGTCGTTTTCAACACACCAATCGACTATGCTCACCATGGTCTCTTCTTCTCCAAATGGGACTGCCACCTTAGAAATGAAAAGCGCCCTGGTGAGTATAGCCGATTGGTGTATTGGAAATGACATGGATCTCTTCGAAACAGTGGTGCTATTG